TATAAGCATAAAAATGTATCTCTTTTTCGTCGACTAAATTATAACTCATTAAATATTATCATTTAATGACATCGTAGAACAGTGTTTACGTTTATCTACCTGTGTATTTTTCTCCATGTTGCTTATCTTTTAATTTTTATCTCCTTCGTTCTTTTACTCAGTTAGGTAAATGTACGGAAGTATATAGAGTCTTGTGAAAATAAATATGTAGAAGGTAAGGTAATGTGTTTCTTCCCTACGTCAATACAGATGACATATTTGAAGGGAAAGATATGATTACATGATGAATATTAAAAAATACATGTAGCAAATATCGTTCGATGATTCTTCTTTTCCGTTATTGTGACTTATCAATACATTTATTCTATATTTTTTCTTCTTTTTAATATACTATGAACAAAAAATTCGAATTTATATTTTAGTATGGTAGCTAATACTGATACTACATTAAATAATATATCTTTATCGGCAAATAATTATTTTATATCACCATCAATAAAAATGACTTTACCTCCACATTTACGTAAGAAAAAAATTTTGTTTTTTTGATAAATATATTTTTTTGTCTTTAAAATTTTAGTTCGTTCAATTGATTTTTGGACGAAAGAAGATGTACAAAAATGGATTGAATATTGTATTGATGAGTATGCTTTAGGAGATATTAATGTGAATGATTTCGAAATGAATGGTTAGTTAGTTAAATAAAGAAAAACTGAAAATGAAATTATCTGTTTTTAAATAGGTAAAGCATTAGCATTATTAAGTGAAGATGGTTTTAAAAAACGTTCATTACGATCTGGAGATATTCTATATCAAGCTCTTCAACAACATAATGCTATAATTAAATCAATAAATTGTCAAAGTAAATATTTTCAATTGGAAATAAAATAATCGAAATTTTTCAAATAGATTTTTCATATCAATTATGGAATAATTTCGGTCTTTTTCCACCGTCATCTATGCGTCATTTTAATATGCCATATCCACCTCTTCCACCACCACCAGCAACTATACCTTATGTACATTCAGCATTTAATTATTTATCTAATCGTTCTGAAACAGACTTTATTGATTCTCAACAATCGATACGAACTCGACAGATATCCAATTCTTCGTCATCATCAGGTTTGTACCTATTTTTTTTTTGATAATAAAATTTTCGTTCTTTTTTCTTTCAAGTTATAAAATCTTTAGAAAAAAATGATATTCATCTTCCATTATCATCTGTTAAACAAGAATATATTCATAATGAAGATATTGATACTGAACAACGAGAAACAATGTCAATTCCACATATACTAACATCAAATTCACCAAATATTAATGAATCTCTATTGAGAAAGATTCCTTCAGGAATATATTCAAGAATAAAACAACAAGTCAATGATGTAGGACATCTAGATGGAAATGATAAAACTAGACAAATACGTTATTATCATGATCGAATTGATTTTCATGGTGATATACTAATGAAACCGAAAGCAGCAAAAAGTAAGATTGTTTATTTTTCTTCGAATAATAATGAACGATGAATAAATCATACATTCTTTTTGTCTATTAAGATTGTCGAATTTTATGGGAATTTATATATATTTTACTTGAAGATCCACTTTATGAATCAATAATTCATTGGGAAAATCGTGAAAAAATGATATTTCGAATAAATCAAGCTGATAAATTAGCTGCACTTTGGGGTATATTTAATTAAATTAGTTCCTACTTTTTTATTTATTTCTTTAAAAAAGGTCTTCAAAAAAATCGCTTATCAATGACATATGAAAAATTATCACGTGGAATGCGTTATTATTATTCAAATAATATTATATCAAAAGAACAATCGAAACGTTTATTATATCGTTTTATGCGTTCACCGGATGAAATTCGAAAAAATATGAAACGTCATGGTTCAACAGCAACAACAACACCCGCAACAAATATGTTATATCCAATAATAAATAAAAAATCTTCAGCATCATCATCGTCATCATCACCACCCAATACAAATCTTCATAGTCAAGAATTATCTTCATCTCAATTACAAAATCAATTTCTACAATTTTTACCAGCGTATTCATCAATGATATCAAATTTAAATTCCGCAAATAATTTATTATTTCCTACACGTGATAATTCTATATCTAAAAGTGATCGAGCTAGTTCATCATCACCAGAATCATTAGATAGTAATCATGATAGTGAAAAACAATATTGTAGTTCATTACAATCATGTTCATCAGCAACAAAACGTAAACAAAATATTCCAATATCACTAACGACACGTCTATTGCATAGTTATCCATTTGATCAACCACTTAATTTAGCTGTTTGTAAAGAAGAAGAAAATGTTTACAATTATAAGAACTAATAAATCATTCACATTCGATCAACTGTATTAATCGAACAGTGGAAATTTCAGCTGCATTCTTCTTCGTTTGTTTTCGTATAAAAACATATCATTAGACTAAGTAGTAGGTGTAGATCAGTGTATGTATGTGCATTGTTCTTTTGTTCTTTTTTTTTCCACCATATTAAATGCACTATGTGATAATATAAAACACTGTCTAAAAAAAAGAAAAAGAAAAATCTTTGTAATGTGTATGTTTAATTTGATGAGAGTGATGACAAACAACGAATAAATTGTATATTGTAGTTTTTATTAACATGTGTTTTTGTTTTTGTTTTTTTTTTCTTATTTCTGTATACTTTTTTTCTTTATATAATGATGTCTTCCCCGAGTTCTTTTTTTCTTCAAATTTACTTCATAATAAATACAATGAATTCTCAAAAATCATTATCAAATTAGTCCGTTGATATTTTTGTAGGTATTTTTCAGTGTAATATTATTAGTATCCTTCATACTGTCATATTAGTTATTATCGTTTCAACTCATATATTGACGTCACGGTCGAATACTTCACACTGGGTGTGTTTTATCTCTGATATTTATATTTCGTCGTATTTTCGATATACAAAAAAAAGCTTAGATTATTCAAAATAATGGAAGAATCACAAGTGAAATTACCAAGTCGTTATATTGTAGAAGATAAACATTTTGCATTAGACAGTAAATTTGTGATTACAGATGAAACAGGCAATATTTATTATACAGTTGATTCAACTCTATTTACTATGGGTGATAAATTACAAATGTATGATGCTGATGGTAATGAATTAATAAGAATTCGTCAAGAAAATTTACATTTACATAAAACATATATTATTGAATCAGTTCGTACTGATGCTGATGAAATGCAATTAGCATCAGTAAAACGCACTGGCTTACTTGGACAACATAAACTAGAAATTATTGCTGTTGATGGTGCATATATAATGGAAAAAAGAGGAAATGCGTTTTCGCATGAATTTATGTTGAAAAAAGGTGATGATGTAGTTGCTATTGTAACAAAAGATCCGTCAGCAACGAAAAGTATTTATTGGTTAGATGTATCTGCTGATAGAGATGAATATCGTGCATTTCTTGTAGCTTTGGTAATTGTTCTATCATGTGCACAACGTTTACCGGGTAATCCTCTTTCTACACCTCATGAAGGCAACGCTAAACCTTAAATACAATAATGTTCTATTTTGAATTGAATAAATAATGTTTTCATAGAAAATATGATTCAATTTTTTATTTACATGTCACATGTTTCAAAAGTTTCAATCATAATTTTGATTTTTTCATATTCTTCAAATCCTGTAAGAAATTATAGAATATCATCATTAAAAATTTATTTGGCGATAAATGTAGTCATGACAGTTTGTTCCTTTATCTTAAAATTCTTTCGTAATTATATTCTTACTACAGATGAGCATGTTTATGAGCAAAAAGCAATAAGACGGAGCAAGTTCGTTTACTAAATAAACTGTTTATATCAAAAATCTTTTTAATTGAATTTTCATCACATTTTTGTTTATCTCACAATCGATGTAATGCAATCAAATACAACAAGACAAGTAATAATTCGTTGTCTGATTATAACTACATAATACTGCATAAGAAATGATCGAAACGATTTTAGAACTGATTATTCAATAGGATCTCTCTCGTGTAGCCATTGACTAAAAGAGCAAGAGCGATTTAGTCTTGTTACTCTAACAAAAGGGCAATGAATTCCTTGATATTAAAAACTAGGATTAAAAGATTAAACAATATAAAGGATGTCGATTACTTCATATAGTTTATCACACTGAAATAACTCTGTTTTATCATAGACTCAGTATCTATAAATAAAGAAATTCGTAGAAAGACGGATATGTAAAAAATATAGCTGATAAAATTGATGATATGTGAATGCATAATTTCAAAAAATACTACTTTTCGATATATAATGAAAAAAAAATCAACAAGGCAATTCGTAAACATTGAAAATTTAATATGTGCTTCTTATTATTTATAAATATACTAAACTTAGATGTAATTATTTACAACAACTATGAGTTGTAGCTTTTTTTATTTGAAATAAAAAAAACGATAATAAAATTTTCTTCTAGCACAACGAAAAAGTATAGAATAACATGTATAGCGTATTCGAATTTGATTGATATGAACAGCGGATATTCATGGAATGATTGTCTTTCTTAATGATTAATGTGTGATAATATGGTTCATTGCTTAATGAAATTTGTTTGATAAAGTTCAAAGAACAATGAATCTTCTCTTAACAAACAACACTTTTTTTTTCTTATGATAAGATGTGCCCTTCAATAAAAAAGGTTAGTTTATTCAAAGGATTTTATTTATAACAACATCTAAATAGTCTATAGAACTAGTGTAAACAACTGTTTTCTTATCTCTCTTAATTCTATTATGATTAAGAAAACTATACATTTCCGTAGTTTATGAGATAAGTAGATGTCATTATTTATGAATTCATTGGTTATTCAATGAAAATCAATTTAAGATGATTCATATTACCTTTTTTTTTAAAGAGAGAAAAAGAATTAAAGATTTTTTATTATCATGTTTTATAATGGTGCTCAACTCATTTCTATTTCAGATGGATCGGTTGAGTGTTGTACTCATCTGTCAATTGCATCTCTTTATTACAATCACTGCTTATCAATCATCAGAATTTTTTCCTTTCTTTTCTCAAAATGATACAAAAAATTTTGAAAATAATGAACAATTCCAATATAATACTCCTATTAATCATTCGATTTATCGTCGACAAGCTTCATTAAATATTCTTACATCTCAACAAGCACGCATACCGATTACACCCTCATATATAATTCTTGGCCCACGTGTAGTTCGTCCAGCACAGATAGTTTCTATAAGTGTTACTATATTACGTAAAACATGGAATCCAATTATGGTTAAAGCATTAATATCCAATGATGATATGGCTATTGCTGCAGCTGAAGATCTATTTACAGTAAATGTACCACGTACATTACAAATGCGTATACCAAAAAGTATTCGTCATGGTACATATTATTTAACTATTCAAGGAACATTATTAACAGGTGAACAAAAATTTTCTAATATTTCACAATTAATATTTGAACAAAAAGCTGTATCAATTCTTATTCAACTTGATCGACCAGTTTATCGTCATGAAACTGTTATACAATTTCGTTGTATACCTATTTATCCAGATTTAAGTGGTTATTTTCATACACTTGATGCATATATTCTTGGTCCATCAGGACATATTTTACGTAAATGGGAAAATCAACAAACAACAGCAGGCATAGTTTCACTTGAAGTAGATGAATTTTAAAAAAAAATTATCTTTTCTATTATCTTTTCTTTTAGTATCCCATCAATGATGGACCACCAGAAGGATTTTGGACTGTTAAATGTCGTGTCATGGGTTATGAAGCAACCAAACAATTTGATATACATGAATTTTATAATCGAAAATTTGAAGTTAATGTTACTGTTCCATATTATTTACCAACTGATACTCCGGGTATTGGTGGAATTTTAACAGCAAATTATACCACTGGAATGGGTGTACTTGGTTATGCACGAATCGTTGTTCGTGCACGTAATATGTCTACAGCATTTGATCCATATAATTATCCATTAGCAGATGTTGAATTTGATAAAACAACACCATCATATACAACAACAATTCAGGATTTTAATGGTGTTGCTGGATTTTTTATACCAATTCAAAATATTCGTACACTTCTACCAGATTTAGATGGAAATGAACTATTGATAACTGCTGTTGTACATGATCCATGGTGGAATGAAACAAATAATGGTTAGTATCACATTACTATTATTGAGTTTGAATACCTAGTAAATGAAGTTTTAAGATCTGTAAAAAGGATAATAAAACTTTTTTTGTCAAAGTATCATAAAACACTTGAGAGAATTCGTTTAATATTGATCATTATTTTCATAGATTGAAGGATCAGAATGTGTAAATTATATTTGAATTATGTCTTGTAATTCAAATTGTTTGTTTCAGGTACAACTATTGTTTCCTTCTATACACCTGGTACACGTCTTCGTTTTCTTGGTGGACCATCGATGGTATTTAAACCTCGTATGATTTTTACTACCTATGTAGCTGCGACTAATGTTGATGGTTCAAAATATCCTCCTGGTCCTGGTCGATATATTCGTATCTATACTGATACAGATCTTGGCCAATCACAAGCACCTACAGATTATATGATTGATTCATCAGGTATAATTCAACATAAATTTTTAGCTCCAGCTGATCTTCAAGTAACATTTATACGTTTACGTGCTGAATTATATAATAATAATATAAAAGTCGAAGGTAGTTATGATGAACAACGTGCTATACGTTATTTATCACCATCAAATAGTTATTTACAAGTAACATCAAGTACAGAAAAACCACGTGTTGGTGATTATATGTTATTTCGTGTTAATATAACACAATATGTTGACTCTGTATATTATCATATAACATCAGCAGGAAAATTAATATTTACAAATATTCTTCCAATGGATGGTGCACGACAGAAAACATTCGATGTTGGTATTAGTCGTGAAATGGCTCCATCAGCTCATATATTAGTTTATTATGTACGTTATGATGGTGAAATTGTTGCTGATAGTATGAATTTTCATATAGATACATCATCGGTTACAAATCATGTTAATATAACAGTAAATCGACGAAAAGATTTTACAGGAAATACAATTGAAGTTATAGCATATGCATCACCACAATCCTATGTTGCATTTGCTGGTCTTGGCCTTGTACAAACACGTTTATTTCCACCAGGAAATCATTTTACTTCAGTTATAGTAAGTTTTCATTACTCTTTAATATTTAATTTCGTTCGCTTTTTTTTAGATTTATGATGAATTATATTCATTCGATCGTTATTCAACAACAAGTTTTCAACATACATGGTATTCGGATATAAATATTGCATCACATCGAGTTTTTTTCTCATCACAATCTTATGGTTATGATGCTGGTTCAACGTTTAATTCATCGGGTATGCAAATATTTACAGATGTAAATATTCAAGCTATACAACAAACAGCATGTAATCAATTTGGTTTATTACAATGTACCGATGGTTCATGTTACCCATTATCATTGAAATGTAATAATGTTTTGGATTGTCGAGATGGTTCAGATGAAGTTGATTGTATATATATGAAATTTTTCAAAGACTATCTTTATCTTTTTATGAATATTTTTAGGTAATGTAACAATAAATGCAAATCGATACAATTTTACACCATTATATCTACGTCTATGGCCATTTTGGGAACGTGAATTACAACTTGATTTTATGTGGCATCAACAATTTGCTTATCCTGATGGTCGTGTACAGTTTCGTACAACTGTACCGAATGTTATTGCAACATGGGTTATAACTGCGCTTGCTGTTAGTCGTTTAACAGGTTTTGGTATTGTTGATGTACCACTTATATATGAAGGTACAAGACAATTTTTTATTAAAGTTGAAGTTCCACCGATTGTTCGACTTGGTGAACAAGTTGGTGCACGTGTTGATGTATTTAATTTTCAACCACATCGTATTGAAGCATTAATTATTTTACATGCATCGGATGATTATCGTTCTGTTAATATTGGTCAACGTGGTATAGTATCATCATATTCACCAAAATTAACTGAAGGACAACATCATGTACTTGTTATTTTATATCCAAATGAAGTACGAAGACTTTATATTCCATTTGTACCTATTGTTGCTGGTGAAATTGAAGTTATGATTGAAGGTATAAATTTTATCGTATAAGAAAAAATGTCTTTAAAGTTTGAGTCAAAATGAGTAAATCTATAATGAAACATACATTTCTTTGATAAAGAGCATAATCTTGTTTTTTTTATTTGTATAGGCATTACTGGAGTATCTCGTGATTTTTATCGTGAAGTAATAAAAGTTAATTATGAAGGTATACGTAATTATTATCATACACCAACTGTATTATTACTTAATAATTTACCAAGACAAGTCAATGAATATGATATTACGGTACCTGAACATTTTATTCTTCCATTAGCAAATACGTGGGATTATATTTCTGGTTCAGCAACATGTGAAATATTTATATCCGGTGATGTAGCTGGTCCTTATTTCCTATTAGGTTATGATGAATGGTTAAATACTGATAATTTAATTCAACGTACAACTGCTCCAGGTGATTCTGGTATTTTTGATTTTGCTATGATGATTTATAATCTTCGCTATATGTTACAAGGTAAATAAGTTTTGACTTTATTTAAATATGAAAAAAGTACAGAAAACCTTCTTTCTATTTCATTATATTCTTACTTATATAAATATATTTTAGGTCATGGTGGTCGTGCATTTGATGAACAAAAATTATTGCAAGTATTAATTTATGCCAATATGGAATATCTTCGTTTTATGGCAATGTATGTTAATAGTTATCCTGATGAACCATGGCGTGAAGGTTCATTTAGTCAATTTGGTTTTAATAATGAAACATCAGTATGGATGACAGCTTGGACATTAATGACATTACGTGATGCTGTTTATCCGGAATGGGAAGAGAAAGGTTTATATATAGATCCAAATCTTCGTTCAGATATTGTTAAATTTCTTATAACAAATCAGAAAACAAATGGTACTTGGGCGGAAACAACAACTGTTGAAGATCGAAATAAATTTGGTCTTCGTTTAACAAATGTTAGTGGTACATATCAACAATTGAATTTATCTTTAACAGCACAAGCTCTTATTGCTTTACAATTAAATGTTGATATACGTGGAATCCCGGCAAAATATATAACAGGTGCTATTCAACGAGCAAAACAATGGTTAGAACAACATTTTCGTTTAATTAATGATGCATTTGATATGGCAATTGTTACATATGCATTACATTTAACAAATAGTGCAGAACAAGATGCTGCATTTGCTAGATTAACTTTATTTAAACGAATGAGTATGTAAAAATAAATATAAATTTTGGAAATATTATATTGTATTTTAATTTAGATGAAAATGGAATTTATTATTCAAATTTAAATCTACCAGCAATGACAAAAACATGGCCGAATGTTAATCCTCGATATGGTCCAAAACCAGTACCAACAAATTTTGAAGCACATGCTGTATCTGCAACAGCTTTTGTAGTTATGACATATACTCATAAAGCTAGAGTGAAAGAAGCTGAACAAGCTGGTAAGTTCTAACAAAAAACAAGAAGACATATTATAGAATACTGATGTATTAAAACAATATGTGATATATCGAACACACAATACACTTTCACTGACTAGAAAATATTTTAATGAAGGATGTCTATCATACAAAGAGTTCATAACCGCGACTTGTTCAAGAATAGTTCAAATAATTCTATTATTATAGTTGCAAGACTTGTTGTGTATAATAATGAATGACATTAAGAAGTACTTTAAAAACTTATGTCTTTGAAAATCGAATCTACATATGAGAAAAAATCTTAATCCGTTTTAACTTCTATTGATTACGAGCTTGAACTGTTTATATCGTAGTTATAACTTATCAAGTGAATTAATATTTGAGAAAATACAGTCTCTTATTTCTTGAATTCCTAGTTTTATCTTAACCATAATCTTACTCATTAATTATAATAAACAAATAACAGAGTTCATAAAGAAGAGAAACTTTATGTTTATTATAATGCAACCTATCCTTGGATTTTTCTACATTCTCATACTTTCGATTAGTATTATGGCTTCAATCAATGCGTAATTTTATTGGTGGCTGGTCTGCAACATATGATTCTTGTATGGCACAACGTGCTATAGTTGGTTATGCTGTATTGCGTGGTTTTGAAATTACAGCTTATAATATACGTATTAATTTAACATCATCATCATCAAATGAAGAAAGTCATGATCCAGTTGTAATTACAGATGGAAATTTAATTGATACACAAGTTCGTGATGTAGAACGTGCTTGGGGTGTAGTTTATATTGATGGATTTGGTAATGGTTATGCACTTATTCAAGTATAGAGCTTTAAATAGAATTAAAATCTAAAATAAATATTTTCTTCATAGATGCATGTTGGTGTTAATGTTGAATTTAATGATAAAGTACGTCGTCCAGCTTATGTTCCATTTTATGTTGATGTTCAACCGATGTTATCTGGTCGGAATTTTTCAACAATTGATTATCATATTTGTCTTTCTTGGCGTACAGAAAATGTAGATGTATTAAAAGCAACACATAGTGGATCAATGTTTTTTGAAATTCAAATCCCAACTGGTTATCGTGTTGAAGAAAAAGATTTAAAAACAATGATCTGGGGATTTCATACACGAAATTTACGTGAAGCTGAAAATTGGCCTGGTCAAGTTAATTTTGGTTTTGAATATATAGATTTTAATCCAATATGTTTTCAATTTCAAGCTAAACGTTGGATACCAATAGCAAATATTTCTCGTTATTATGAAGTACGAGCTTATGAATGGTTTGAACCAGCAAATATAAATCGAAGTGTTTATACCTTAAGAAATTTATTTGCTTTAGATATATGTGAAGTAAGATTAATTGATAGATATATATTTATATTCAAAAAAAATTATTTTTAAGGTTTGTGGATCATATCAATGTCCATATTGTCCATATTATGGTCAAGCAACAGTATTTATACAATCAATAACCATGATTATTTTAGTTTTATTTATTGTTTTCTACAATCATGTAAATTTAATAATATTTCATTGAGATAAAACGAATGAATTTAGAAATATATTGTAAACATTTAGTATAAATTGTTTGTATATCAATAATTCTAAGAAAACTCTTGTTTTTTTTTGTTAGACTTTGTATGGATTTTTATTTTGCTAATACTAATAATTGATTTGAACGAATAATTGAATTTTTATTGTAAAGAATAAAATGTGCGCATTCCTTCTTTCCGTGGAGTGAATTTTCATCTCCTGAAATATATTTAGAGGAAGATAAGATGTTAAACGATTAAAATAATCGTTATATTTATTCCCATCAATCAGAATTTCAAATACAAAAAGAATTCTTTAAATAATTAACCATATATATAAAATATTGATTCTTTCAAGAAACTATAGAACTAACAAAATATAAACTAGCAGTTATAATCATTTTTTGTCCTTAACATTGTCGAAGGCATGAATAGATTGTTGGAGGGAAAAAAACGAGATTCAGAAACAGTTTCTATTATTATTTGTTCTGCCAATATTTCTTTCATTGCTTATATTCAGATAACTCAATTGTAGTCTACATAGCCCTATTAAATATGATTATCTTAATTATAATCCGATGGTAATTTGAAGTTAAATCTCCATGAAAAATAATTATATATATATATATGACTTAGAATGATGAAAATTGTGTATATCAACATAATAGATCTCATTGATTACACTTAAGCAATTCATATCAATATAAGAGGATCAATCAAAATATAGCTTTTTTCTTTTATTTATTTTTAGAATTATTCTAAATGCATGTTGACTTCTTCTATATCAGTTTGATCTTCGCTTTTTTACATCCGGAATGATCGTATGTAACATCCGAAAACATTTCCGTTGTTAACGAACTATTCAACTAACTTTTTTTAATAGCAATACTTTCTGCTTATAGGAAAAAAAAATTTATCCACTACTGAAAGTATCCTATTATATTAATCTTTCTTCAATTGATAAATTCTAATGATTATTTTTTTCAAGTGTAATAATAAATAGAAATCTATATATAAACGTATCTCAATCAAGTGCACCAAATATGGATTTAGTATTGTTTTAAAAGAAAATAGCAACAAAAATCTCAAGATCAAATTGTCGACAGACAAACAGCATTTTTATTCCACAATAAAAAGAAACGCTCTTTTCAATTGTAAAAAAAATAAAACAATCTGTTATGTCTACAAATTTTATTTTAAATAAAGAAAAAAAGAAGAAAAAAAA